TGAGAACTGTACAGTACTACACATCTCCTTTGTGGGATCGCTTGTCTGCGAAGCACCTTGTCGGAGTGAATTGTGAGTTTGACTCAGAAAGGACTGTGTATATATTCCAGTGTCCAGTGTGAATAAACTGTAAATACTCTGCACATACTTAAACAGAGTCTCTGCTACTTTTCGGCGTTTATAACAACCGTCAGTGTGTTCATTAAAGGTAATGGTTTCCCTCGCTCAAAAGCCAGTCGAATCTGACTTTAGGGGGCAGTGCTCATCTCCGTTTCCAAGCCGAAGAGCCAGCGCTCTCTGAAGACATTTCTGTGGTCACGTGAACGCCGAGGCGCACGGAACGCTGTTACCTGCCCACCTATTTATCTACTTGCAATTTCTTGCTTTCGGACTGCTAGGTTGGCAGGAGCTGGGGCCAGAGACGGGAGCTCACTCCGTAACGCTGCACTCGGGTCTCAAACTTCCGAACTTCCGACCTTCCGGTCTGCAGCTCAGCTTCTTAACCTCTGAGCCACCACGGCCCCCATGTGTTCATTAGGTGCGTGCAAAAATTCAGTGTGTTCACACGGCAGTGGCGGCTGCCAGGGGACAGCTGGGAAGCTCTGCAGATCCTGTAAATGTCGAAGGGGTCCCGAGTTCAAAATGTATGGGAAATCCGGATGATGAAAAATATCAATCACCTTCACCAGCCCAAGTGGGATAGATGAGGAAATATTGTGGGCAAAGCTGACGGACTAAGGAAAAAAGGGAAAGGGAGAAGATGGTCTTCCCGTACAACAAATAACAGACTCCTTAGGATGACAGCAAAATATGCACTGCATAATTGTCTAAGAAGAAAGCATCGAAGAAAAACAGAGAAATGGGCTGTCGTTTACCGTAGTACATTAATAATTATTGGACCATAGCAAGCTGTTAACAGATTCCGGATCTGCGGGGCATGCTCTGTCTTCGCCAGAACTGCAATGGGAGATGGGCCCTTCAAGCATTTCAGCGCACACCTCCATAATGAAATCGGAGTCATGATTATGAACTGTCCCAAAAATACTGTGCTCAGAATGAAATAGAACGGAGTGCTTGCAACGTGTAAATAATTACAAACAATCGGATGGCACTTCAGAAGTATAAGGTGGCCGAACAAAGAGGGCCTCCATGGGCCAGGGGTAGGGGGCAAATGCCTGTGCCGTGGGGCAAAGGTAAGGTTGGCAACTTCCAGGTGGGGTCTGGAGGTCCCCTCGGAGTTACAACTCATCTCCAGGCTACAGAAATCGGTTTTGGAGAAAACGGCTGCTTTGGAGGGAGATCTCTGTGCTGCCCTATCTCCCTGAGGCCCCTCCCCTCTCCAAACCCAACCTCCACAGGCTCAACCCCCCCAAACCTCCAGCAATTCCCCAACATGGACTTGGCATGGCTATCAGTTCCTGGTAGCGTTGCCAGGTCTTTCTTGGCTGCAGGAGGGCGCTCCAGCTGCTCCCGGATCTTCTGGCACACTGAGCAGGTCGTGCAGGGGACACTCTAGCATTTGGCCAAAAACTCTATGGTCACCATAGAATTCTTAGCCACGTGCTAGAGTGTCCCACACCAGGCACGACAGGCTCTTTGGGGTCCATTGGGCCCCCCAAAAGTGGGGGGAACCCCGCCCCCATCAGGGGGGTGGCAACCCCAGTTCCTGGGAAGCTTGAAAGGTAACACTCTCAGTTCAAACTTCTTCAACACATCACATATGGCCTACAACATATGCTGGATGATGATACTCCCCTCTCACAGGCATTGGGATGCAAACATTTTCTTGCCCACAGATAGCGTTCTAACCTTAAATGACTTCTCAACCACTGCAATATCCTTCCTAACATGGACATGGGCACTAGGACCAAGAGGCCGACTCTGTCCCCATATCCACTCTGAGAACACAATCACTGGACCTAACTACACCAGCCGTCCCATCCCAGGTTCATTCATTTGTTCATCTTCCAACATTAATCAAATGTCAGCAATGCCCTTCCACTCTTTACATCGGATAAACAGGACAGTTCCCGCCAAAAGGATAAATGGACATAAATCCGACATTAAAAACCGCAACACTCAAAAACCAGTGGGAGAACGTTTTAAACATCTTCTAGGTCATTCCATTGCTGAACTAAGAGCTTCAGTTCTCAAACAGAGAAGCTACAAGGGGAAAGTACAATGTGAGATCGCTGAACTGGTGTTCATTCACAAGTTCAGAACAATGGACCCCCCCCCCCCCCGGCTGAATAGAGACAAAGGGTTCTCTTCCGCAGGGCTCTTCCACCAGGCTTTTAATTAGGAGCCGCCGCCGCCACCACCACCACCAACTAACTGATGGGAACATGGGTTATTGGCCCATTATAAAATCGAGCCTCAGGGCTCCAACTGACCGTCCCGCCGAATCGGGCTCGGAGCTTCATCTACAGGCTACCATCTTGCTCTGATTGCTCAATAATACCGCTGAGCACTTTATTCTGATAATGGTTGTTTTATGTGTTTTACTGTTTTATATTGGCACATGGTGCCCTTTCTGTAAGCCGCCCTGAGCCCATTCGTGGGGAGGGCGGGGTAGAAATACAATAAATAAATAAATGTCATTACAGATGCTAATTTTCTGCCCCCATTTCCCCTCTGCTTTAATCAGGCTGATTACAATATGCACGGTACCTTTACTTCCCTTGCAAGCATTCTTTTTCATTTTATTTTTGTGAGTATTTTGTGTGTTCGTGTGTATGCCTGGAAGTCATGGTTGACCTCTGGCAAACCCTAGTGTGGCTTGGGATTTTCCACCCCAGAGCTGGCAACCTGACTTGTGAATGAACAGTTCCAGTGCTGCGAACAGAACTTTCCCGTCACCTCAATCACCATGATTTCCAGAGGGGCCGTTCCGTATGTTCCCCGGTGCAAGTCAAGCAATATGCACAATCAGTGCACGGGAACCAGCCCGGTGGCTTGGGTCAGACATATTGCAAAACTGTGGTGTATTCGGACCATGGCTAGCTTGTAAAACCGGATCTTGGGTGATCGCTGAAACTGTGTTTTGACGAATGCTGGTTTCGTCACCGTCAGGGGTCATTTCCTGCAGGAGCGCACAGGAGCGGAGCTCCGGCAGTAAAGAGCCCAGGGGGCGGGCACATGCAACAAGCCCCACCCCCTGCTCCCAGCAGCCCTCAGTCAGAGCAAGAAGCAGCCAGGTAAGCTGCACAGCCCCCCCCTCCAAAACAGTCCAGTGGCACCTTTAAGACCAATTCTTATTCAGCTACAAGCTCTCCCTCCTCTGCGAGGACAGATCTGCACGTTCCCCCCCCCCAATAGCTAGCAGTCCAAAACAGTCCAGTGGAGCCTGAGCGGTGGGTGTTGCCTTCTGACACACTTCCGGTGATGTGGGGTGGTGGTGGCACATGCAAATAAGTTATGCTAATGAGCTCCTGCACCTCTTTTTCTATGAAATGACCCCTGGTCACCGTCATCCCCCTCCCTCCCCCAAGACCCCAGGGATATTCTGGCTTGCCTTCCAAGGAGAACAAACCAGGATTAAGCCAGGATGTCTCAGTTCATACATCTTGCAAAAGCATCAGGTTGCTGTGCTACAGTCAACATCGAGAAAACAGAAGAGACGTGGTCAGCTGATACGAACGCCCTAGCAAGGCAAGCAGCTACTGCTCTTATGAATGGGGAAATACCTCAACAAGGGAGGGGCAGTACAGGAACAGAGAGAAAAGACATTGGAATCATCGTGCACCAATAATGCGTATGTACAAAGCCTCCGCTATGCTATTCCTAGCAAAGCGCAACACCTGCTCGATAGTACGTGGGGCAATTGATCATTAACTCATATTACATACGTCACGTGCAAGGCTGTCCCTAAACCTCAAGGCTATGTTGCTTACAATACATCTGCGTCAGTCGAATTCCACTGAAGTCAACAGGAGTTACATTTTGTGAGTGAAATATAATGTATAAATCTGACCTCGTTCTGGAATGCCAACCGGGGCTCCGAACAAAGGAGGAGGGTTGGATTTACACCCCGCCCTTCACTCGGAGTGGCTTACAATCACCTTCCCTTCCTCTCCCCACAACAGACACCCTTTGAGGTAGGCTGAGAGAGCTCCTAGAGAAATGCTCATGAGAGAACAGCTCTGAGAGAACTTGTGACTGACCCGAGGTCACCCAGCTGGCTGCATGTGGAGGAGTGGGGAATCGAACCTGGTTCTCAAGCTGGTAGAACAAACGGGCAGATTTACACGGTGTTATTTATTAGAAGACCAGTGGGGTACAGTGTTTCGAATGTCATAATAGGATCTGGAAGATCTGGGTTCGAATCCTCTGGTTGGTCGGTGTTAAAGGTGCCACTAGACTCAAACTTTGTTTTGCTGCTTCAGAGGAACACACCTAAATACCTAAATACCCCTAGGATTTAAGCGGTGATAGTTGCTACTAACTATGCTATAACTTGTTGAAATTTCAAGCCTATTGAACAGCACCACCTGGTGGCTGGAGTTTTTACTTGCGGCAGAGTTGCTCAACGTTATCACCTCGGTCCATCTAGTTCCAGTGTCAGAACATCTGCAGGCTTCCAGAAGTAGCACTTTGCCACTGGATCAGTACTTGAATCAGAGCACTTGTTGTCAGTGGCACCACATGTTCCGAGTGATGTTAAGCATACTTTTTTAGCACAGCATCAGACTGAGCAAAGGATTGAAAAGAAATTGGTAAAACGCAATTCATCTGTCCCTCTCTCTATACATGCCCTATCAGATGTTAAAATATAGGACAGGCTTCTTTAGCTTGCCAGAAGTGTAACAATACTGCCATAAGTGTAACATTACAATGATTTAAAACCACAGCTTTTTACACCCTGCCTTCCACGGCCACTACCCCCCACGGCCCCTTCGTTGTATTCTCAGTCCCGCACTTGATCCACGCCCCCTGACCAATAAAATCAAATTTCCGCCTTCGCTTTCGCTCTGGCAGACGGGAACTCTCGCGAGACTCAGAAGTCTCACGAAATGCTCCCAGAATCCTCTGCCCTTCCTTTTCCCGGCGGTAGTGAACGTCTTCAGGTAAGCTAAATGGGATCGCGCAGGGCCTGGCTTGGTATCCGCCACCGAACGCCGCCATCCCGCGATGGAGGCCCCGGGGATCATGCTGGATAGAGAGGGGAGACGGATAACCGACCTCTCGCTGCGGCATTTCCGAGATTGGGGGCTGAGAGGCGGGGGAATCGCACGGACGGAGAGGTCCTGGTTGGAAGCGGCGAAAATGGCCGCTCTTCTAAAGAACGGGGGGGCCCTGAAAGCCCCGGATGTCGAAGCGCCGGCTTGAGCAGTAGCGTGGCAGCGATGGGGAGGAAAAAGCATTATGGGAAATGTTAATGTAAGCTGGAAAAGGAGTCGAAGCTTTTTGTGGTCTTGTAGACATTAAAGGTAGGGATGCCTTTGGGACGGCTTTCGTATTACGGCGTGGAAACGAAGTGCAGCGTTTGCATGGCCAGGCCAAATGTGGATAATCTTAGAGACCAAACAAGGGACCCTGGAAGAGGCGTATGTATGTGAATAGGTGGTGTATACATGCAAGCAGTGTTCCCTCTAAGCTGAGTTAGTGTGAGCTAGCTCACAGTTTTTTAGCCTCCGGCTCACAGATTTTTGTCTTAGCTCAGGAAGGGATGGCTCCAGAGCAAACTAATTTCTGCAGTAGCCAAATCGCTGGCTCACAGCTTTAATGCCAGTTGCTCACAAAGTAGAATTTTTGCACACAAGACTCCACAGCTTAGAGGGAACATTGCATGCAAGTGGAACCCCCTTACTCATCCCATCGTTTCTGTAAATTCTGAGTGCTGCATATTGCATATTATGTAAAGCTCGTCAATTAGACTGCGTTCTTTTCAGAGTGGTCCTTCAGTGGCAGTAGTAGTTCTTGAAACTAATAACATCTGGTCAGTCTGAAACAAAGCCAATCTTAACAGGGCTGGGTTAAAATCCATAAGGCCCAGGCAGGAGTAGTACTTCCAAAATTAAAGCTGCCTTCTAAAAATCTGTTAACAAACAAACGTGAGTTTGTGAGATGTTATCAAAGGCTGGTTATTGTTGGTTTTCTTAAAGCAATCTGTAATTTACATTGCCTTCGGTGATTCTTTGTGCTACCCGAAAATATGAATTTTTTTTAGACTTGTGGCCTTGTTAATGAAGCCATAAAAAGGAACTGACTTTTGAAAGCTCATACCTTGAAAATCATATTGGTCTCTTAAGATGTTACCCTCTGAGAAAATGTATTAATGTATCATAATTGAGTGTTTACATTGTTTTTAGTAGTTGGTGAAATTCTTTAGCTCTGTGACGGTGATACTAGGTGTTCAATCCAGTACACAGTTATTCTATTGAAATCAGTGACTTTAGAGTGGAGTAACTATATGTAGGATTATACTCTAGGAAAGTGAAGTAAAGTTTTGGGAAATGGTGAATTGAGTCTGCCTTTTGCCTTTATCTTCTCTCTGTGTGTATGAATTAAGGGGCAGAAAGTCTTGTGATTAAAAGCTATGGCTGCAATGATGACTTTCTTAGGACACCTTTGGATTAACTCATGAAAATACTGTGATGTCTGAGCAGCTTTCTTTTAAATTATATCGCAGTCTCTTAGGTAATCGAGAGAACGCAGTTGCCCTTCTGTTGCAAATCTGAATCATGACTTTTCCAATTTTTTTCTTAGTTAAGCTCTGAAAATGGTCCGCTACTCGCTTGATCCAGAGAACCCCACAAAATGTAAGTAACTTTCTCAGGTGCATGTTTGAAATGCTTTAGACATAATTACAGTTATTTATTTAAAATGCCTATTAACGAGCATTCTACCTTGCACAACTCAATGTGTTATTAGAACATATATAAAAACAACTGCAAAAAAAATAACCCTGCAGTTTAAGAACACATTTAGGATGCATTAAGATTTCAGTGTTCATTTTCTTTCCCTTACAGCATGCAAGTCAAGGGGCTCCAATCTTCGAGTCCACTTCAAGGTATGTGGAATCTAACTTTGATTTTTTTTTTTTCCTCCTTAAAGTGTGAGTGTGTGGCTACAGCATACCTTTTGCTTGGTGTCGTGTATTCAGTACGCACAGTCACTGGATGTGACTGGAATATATATTTTTATAGCTTAACTTTGATTTTTGTTGTATTGTACAAGGTTAACTTAGTCTGTTTCCAGTACTGTCATCCCTTAACATAATTTGCTGTGAACTCTTGAGTTCTGCCAATGTAATAAGTAAAAGGAAAAGATAAGAAGAGATTGGTAAGGTAGAATCTTATTTCCAGGGCCCTTTCATTGCCATAGAGCAGGGGTGTCAAACGTAAGGCCCGTGGGCTGGAACGGGCCCATCCAGGGCTGTTATGCAGCCCGCAAGCAACTGGTGCAAGGGAGGGAACAGGAGCCTGCTTTGGGGGGGGGGTGGAGCCACTCCAATTGTGGCTTCTGTACGGTGGGACAACCCCGTCTACAGCAGTCAAGCAGAACCCCTTCAGGGACTGGTAAGTTGGGAGCCACTGCAGCTGCATTCATACCTCTCCACTCGGCTTGCAGCTCCAGGGATGCTGTCCTGGATGGCTGCAGGGATCAGTGTTTGCACGGGGGGTGGGGAGTGCAGATGATCCTCTGTTGGGGCATGGGAGCGTCTGCCCAGCACTGCACTGCTGGGTCTCCAGTCTGCCCGTGTGGGTGTTCCTCTGCACCAGGGGTCATTTGGGGGGGGGGACGCCACCCCCCTGGGTGAGGTGCGGGAGGGCGGGGCCTGGAGCTCCCTGCTGGTGCCCGCTGGAGGTCGCCGCCGGCTGTGGGAAGGACACACTTCCGGTGATGTCAGGGGGTGAGGCATATGCTAATGAGTTATGCTAATGAGTCCCCCTAGCTCCTTTTCTACGAAATGACCCCTGCTCTGCATCCCCCTCCCAGCCCGTGAGGACACACCAACTCGGAGCTTAGCAGTTGCTGACCTTTGTAAAGTTTATATTTCTGGTACCCAACATTACTTTTTATGGCGTGCACGGCCCGGCTGGACAAAGTGACGTGTCAGATCCGGCCCTCATAACAAATGAGTTGGACGCCTCTGCCATAGAGTCTCCAAGTTGCCCCAGATCTTGTCAGCTGTGGTTTATTAAGAGATTAGGTCGCACCTGAGTGCTCTCTCAGTTCCATGGGCTGAAGTGATTGTAATAAAACTTATCGCAGTCAACATTCCAGGACCAGGAAAAGTCAGGGATTGTATGACAGTTCTTCTGATTAGGCTTAGGCTGTGCATTAAGAATAAAAACTAAACGTGCTGAATATTTTGGAGAACAGTCGGGTCATTTCCTTCTTGGGGGGGAAGAGTTTTGTAACTGCGGTGATGACCGAGTTAGGACACCTTTAGATTCATCATGAAAACACCAGTTCGCTCTGAGCAGTTACTTCTCCGGTTAAGTTTTGGTTGTTGTACGAGGTTTGGTGGTAACTCTACAAAGCTCTGTGTGTCTGAGTAACTGACTTCAGGGTTTTTAGCCTATTTAGCTCCAAAGAATGTGTAGAAAGCAGCTGATGATGCCCATTGTTTTGCCCTTTCCCCCCTCCCTTTTCAGAATACACGTGAGACAGCCCAAGCCATCAAGGGAATGCACATTCGGAAGGCCACCAAGTACTTAAAAGATGTGACGCTGAAGAAACAGTGTGTGCCCTTTCGCCGCTACAACGGTGGGGTTGGCAGGTGTGCTCAGGTACAGTTTTATAAAAGTCTGTGGAGAAATGGGCTAAAATGTGGAAATCAACTAAACTATTAAGGGCTACATCCTATAAAGAAAACATTTTTAAAATGTTTTACAGGTGGCACTGATCACCAGACAAAGTAGCAAAATGTTATACAAATGTTTCAGGGAACTGCAGGAGGTGCAAAAAAAAAATATTGGCTCATATTTTCATATATGGTGGAGGTGTGAGAAGCTGGCTAAATTTTGGAAACCCATACAGCAACTAATAGTGGAAATAGTAGGAATAGATCTGAAGTTAGAACCAGAAATATATTTGCTTAATATGTTGCCAGAAGGGATTAAATATAATGATTTGTGTGTGACATTGTATATACTCACTATTTCTAGAATCCTTATAGCTAAATGCTGGAAATCAGATAAAATACCAGGTAGAGAAGAGTTGATTACAAAAATTATGGAAATAAAAGAAATGGATAAACTAAATATGATATTGTTGGGGAAAGAAGAAAATGTGTTTTAAAAAAGATAGCAGAAACTAGATAGATGGGAAAAAATGTGTAAAGGAACTCCAAAAGCATGATCTATATTAAAATTTTGTTTTTTGTATTTTTGTTATGGAAAATAGATAAATAAACTATATATTTAAAAAAGTCTGTGAAGGATGAAGGGGATAGATACGTGACTGTTGGCTGGACAGAGGAGACCCATAACAGATTAACTGGGAGGAAACCGACAATCAATTGTGGTACACTAAACATTGAAACCACAATGAGTATGTAAGATTATTGCAACCCAGTGCAGGAAGCGTGTATACTACATGTGGCACGGGGATAAAGCAGCTTAAAGTTTTCTTTAATCTGTCAGGTCACTGCCCCCTTGCCTGCCTGTCCATCTGGGCCCTGCAGTGCTAAATTCAGTAGCAGATTATTTTCACTGTGTTTGAAACGAGGTCTCTTTGCAGGCACTGCAAAATCCCAGGAGTAAGACAAGCGGGGAGTATATTGTGTGGGGGTTGCTTATGTACAGGATATAAATATTTTCGAGGAACTGCTTTAGCTGTAAAGTCGCTTGGATGTGTAGCACAGCTGTGGTTGCGATGATGACTTTCTTAGGACACCTTTGGATTAACCGTGAAAAGAAATCTCAATTCTGAGCAACTGCTGGAAATGGAAACCACGTGCATCTTCTGGTTTAAAAGGAAACTCAGTGTGACATTCTTCACATTCTAGGCCAAGCAGTGGGGCTGGACGCAGGGGCGCTGGCCGAAGAAGAGTGCCGAGTTCCTCCTGCACATGCTCAAGAATGCTGAGAGCAACGCTGAGCTGAAGGTAAAAATTGCCACATGAAGCCTCTTTCTACTGGATCAGACATTAGCTCCATCAAGATCAGCGTCATTTACTCAGATGGGCAGGAGCTCTCCAGGCTGTCAGGCAGAGGTCTCCCTCATCACATACTGCCTGGTCCTTTTAAACCAGAGCTGCCAGAGGTTGAGCCTGGGACCAAGGCTCCCTCTAAGCTGTGGAGTCTTGTGAGCAAAAATTCTACTTTGTGAGCTACTGGCTATTAAAGTTGTGAGCAAGCAATTTGGCTACTGCGTAAATTAGTTGGCTCCGGAGCTGTCCTTCCTGAGCTAAGACAAAAATCTGTGAGCTGGAGGCTAAAAAAATTGTGAGCTATCTCACACTAACTCAGCTTAAAGGCAACACTGCCTGAGCCGTTTTGCATGCGAAGCAGAGGTTCTTCAACTGCGCCACAGCCTCTCCCTATATCCCATAACTGGAAACACCAGTTTTTTTTAAAAAAAGATGTAATGGGAACTGCATTGAAGATGGAAGGGAGGCAGTCAGAATAGCGGAGGAAGGTGTTCAGCAGCAGGCTCAGAGGTGAAAGGCAGGGCTTGGGGGGGGGGGGTTGGAAAGAAAAAAAGCCATTCTGCTGGCTGCGGAATGAGACAAACTTACAGAAAGCAAGATAGGTGAAGAAAACAGTTGGGAGTTTAGTACCATAAAGGTGATAACTGAAGCCATGAAAATGAGCAGGATCATTCTGAGGCTTTTGGGGAGGGGAGGGGAGCGGGAGCCCTGTAGGGTAAGGGGCTGGGGTTAATGAGGTTGACCTTTAAAAAAGTGCCACGGAAACCTTCGAACCCTGGAGGTAGAACCGGAGTTCAAGGAAGGGATTTTAGGCTTCTTGGGTACAACATGCAAGTTGTGTGTTTCGGGTGTTTGTGACAACTCTGGTAGGATGCCTTTGAAACAACTCTAGTTCTTGTCCACTGTTCTGGTGTCTAGCTGAAAATAAAAACATCAGAAGAGCCCTGCTGGGTCAGACCAGTGGTCCATCTAGTTCAGCATCCTGCCTCACACACAGTGACCAACCAGTTCCTCTGGAGGGCCAACAAGAGGGCATAGAGGCCGAGGCCTTCATAAGAACATAAGAAGAGCCCTGCTGGGTCAGACCAGTGGTCCATCTAGTTCAGCATCCTGCCTCACACACAGTGACCAACCAGTTCCTCTGGAGGGGCCAACAACAGGGCATAGAGGCCGAGGCCTTCATTAAAACAGGAAGAGCCCTGCTGGGTCAGACCAGTGGTCCATCTAGTCCAGCATCCTGTCTCACACACAGGGGCCAACCAGTTCCTCCGGAGGGCCAGCAACAGGGCAGAGAGGCCGAGGCCTTCCCCCGATATTGCCTCCTGGCTCTCGGGTTCAGAGGCTTAGTGCCTCTGAATGTGGACATTCCCCTTAGTCACCATAGCTAGTAGCCATTGATAGATTCAGGGAAGATAAGTATCCGGTCTCAAGCAGTTTATTCCTGTGGCCATCACTACACCCTCTGGCACTGAATTCTACATTTTAATTATCTATAAGCAATTCCACATTTTAAGCATTCTGTACTGTAGGGACATTTGACTTTCCAGGTCTGGGTTGTTGTTGTTATTTTGTTTCTTTTGGAAAGTCTTCGCTTTGCTTGAGAATGTCTGCTTCATTGCTGGGGTTTGTAACGAGGACTGTCTTAAATGCTTCTCCCCCCAGGGTCTGGATGTGGATTCTCTGGTAATCGAGCACATCCAGGTCAACAAAGCTCCGAAAATGCGCAGGCGAACCTACAGGGCTCACGGTCGCATCAACCCCTATATGAGCTCCCCCTGCCACATCGAAATGATCCTCACAGAGAAGGAGCAAATCGTCCCCAAGCCAGAAGAAGAGGTCGCTCAGAAGAAGAAGGTATGATGCTCTTTGGCCCTGCGGATTCTGGGTCTGTGAACTAGATCTTGTGGCGTTTTTTGTAAACTCTTCGTTTTATATGAAGACTTTTAAAAACATTTAAGAACAATAAACTTTGGTGCACAAGGAATTACCTGGGAGCCAGTTTGGTGTAGTGGTTAAGTGCATGGACTCTTAATCTGGGAGAACCGGGTTTGATTCCCCACTCCTCCACTTGCAGCTGCTGGCCATAGTCAAGAGCTGTCCTTGAAAGGGCAGTTCTTGAAAGAGTTCTCTCAGCCCCACCTACCTCCCAGGGTGTCTGTTGTGGGGAGGGAAGAGGAGTTTGTAAGCCGCTCTGAGACTCCGAGCAAAGGGCGGGGTATAACTCCGATCTCCTCTTCTATAATTGTGTTTTTACAATGAGAAATAGTATTGTTTTGATTTGTGCTGATTTTTATCCAAACTTTTCTGTGGCTGTTAGTAAAAAGAGACATTGCTCGTCCTCAAATAATTTCATCAGGCTGGTAGGATTTTTTAATTTGGTCGTATATTGGAGGTTATGAACATAATAGCATCCCTGCTGCATCAGACCGGTGATTATTGTACACCATCATCCGGTCTCACGCAGTGGCCAGCCAGTTACCCTGGAGAGCCAAGAACGTGGCCTGGAGGCCTCCCTCTGATGTTGGCTTCCAACACTGGTATTCAGAGGTTGACTGCCTCTGAATTTGGAGGTTCCATTTAGTCATCATGGCTAGTAGCCATTGATGGGACCCATCCCCCATATTATGTTAGTAGTAAGTTTTAGTAAACACATGTGGGTATTTGTGGTAGACTTTGATTAATTTTATCTTTATTTTTCAGATATCCCAAAAGAAACTGAAGAAGCAGAAACTCATGGCTCGGGAATAAACACTATATTCATTTCACAAATAAAGATAAAACACAAGTTAACTGTATTTGTTTTTTTCTTACATAGCTGTTAAAAGCCTTACAATATCCTTTAGAATACATGTGCAGATTTGACATTAGACTTGGTCTCAATACAGACTGGGAGTTTGTCTGGCTTGCTATAGAAAATAAGATGTTTATGTACTTGCCAATTCATTATGTTTTGTCAATGGGCCACACCCACTCTGATGGTTTCTCTCTTGACAGCATCCTGCTTTTGTTGGTACCCTCCAAATTACCATCACACACTTGTCTCCTGGATTTTTTTAATGTCCGCAGCGTTCAATCACATATCCATTCCCCATTATTTTATGTGTACCATTGCATGCATGTGAGTCTGCCATGGAGGATAACATTTCATGCAGCTGCAGTAGACTGCAGCCCACAATTCATTCATTCAATTTTTAGGCTGCCCTTCCCCGCAAGCAGGGTTCAGGGCAGCTCACAACAGGAGGAAACATACGATAAATAATTTAGATTAAAATCCTGCAATAAAATACACAATACAGCAATAACAGATTAACACTGGTTAATCTGTAAGGTGCTACAAGAGACTGTTTGGGTGACAACATATTACATATTCATAATACATATTCTCCAAAAACAGGATAATCTCACTTCCTGTAAGCTAAAAGGACTAAATGGAGAGCAATGGCACCAGTTTGTTGTAGTGGTTAGGAGCACGGACTCTAATCTGGGAGGACCGGGTTTGATTCCCCACTCCTCCACTTGCAGCTGCTGGATGACCTTGGGCAAGCCATAGTTCTGTCAGAGCTGTCCTTGAAAAGAGCAGTTTCTGTCAGCTCTCAGCCACACCTACCTCGCAGGGTGTCTGTTGTGGGGAGGGGAAGGGAGAGGAGTTTGTCAGCCGCTCTGAGACACCTTTGGGTAGTGAAGGGCGGGATATAAATCCAATCTCTTCTATATTCTGGTCACATTATGAAAAGATGATCGTGCTAGGAGAAGTTGAAGGCAGCAGGAAGACCCAAGATGAGTTGGATTGACTCCGTCAAGGAAACCACGGCCTTCAGTTTTGCAGGACCTGAGTCAGGCTGTTAAAGGTGGGATGTGTTGGAGGCCACTAATTCACAGGGTCACCATAAGTCAGAAGCAACTTGACAGCACCCAGTGTGCAGGAACAATTTTTCAGCTTCTCAAACTTTCTAAGGGCGCTTGAATGCTGTTAAACTAGCTGAAATCTTGTGCTCACTTATCTGGCAGCTAGTCCCACGGAACGCAATTAGAATTCCAAGTTAAAAGTTGTGTTTGCAAGAAGAGATTGGATTTATACCCTGCCCTTCACTACCCAAAGGTGTCTCAGACTTGTTTACAAACTGTTCCCTTCCCCTCCCCACAACAGACACCCTGGGAGGTAAGTGGGGCTGAGAGCTCTTGACAGAAACTGCTCTTCTTCAAGGACAGCTCTTACCAGAACTACAGCTTGCCCAAAGTCATCCAGCCAGGTGCAATTGGAGGAGTGGGGAATCAAACCCGGTTCTCCCAGATTAGAGTCCGCACACTTAACCACTACACCAAACTGGCAAACTGCTGTTCCTCTGGTGGGGAGGCAGCAATCGTGTTTTATTGTGTTCAATGGTGATACATCAAGTCATTAACTGTTGTTCAGGTGGGTAGCTGTGTTCTGAAGTAACAGAACGAGGTTTGAGTGTAGTTGTACCTTTAAGACCAACGAAGTTTAATTCCGGGCATAAGCTTTCGTGTGCGTGTATCTGAAGAAGTGTGCATGCACACAAAAAACTTATACCCATAATTAAACTTGGTTGGTCTTAAAGGTGCCACTGTGCTCATACTTTGTTCTGATTAAGTGTTAGTTTTACAGGCATTTGCATCTTGTATTATCTCTGTCGCCTGGAGATGCTACTCCCGTCCTGAGAGCAACTACATGAGAGAGAAAGCAATTGCCAGTCAATTTGAATATAAGAAGGCTTCTAGCCAGATAAAAATAGTGGACTGGCTGCTACTTCTAGAAATTAAACTGGCTTGCTCCTAATGGAACTGGAAGATATTTTGAAAAAGAATTTCAGCTGCAATAAATGCAAGACAGTAAAAAAGAAGTTTAAACTGCATTCATAAGAAATTAAGCTGTATCAAGAGGTTATACCTTCCAACCCTGGAGGATTACTCCTGAGGAAGACTAATGAAATGAGTATAAAACCGGGTGCTCGAGGATATCATGATGTTGGACTTTTCCTTGAATATGTCAGAATTTCCTAAGCGAAATTTTCATGTTTGAATAGATATACATATTGATGTTTACATGAAATATTAAATATTTTTATCACAGTATTTCCTTTTTTTTTGTATGCCACCTGGAGATTGGCAACCTGGAAACTTGTTTAGGGCCAGGCTTTGTGCTTCATATTTCTAGGACGTGAAGCTGATTTCTTCTATAGTCACTAACTGGAAGAAGCCTTGTGGTCCCTAAATGGGTGGAAGCTGTTCAAATTACAAACTTCTGAATCCTTTGGAACTGTTTACCATCTGGATTTTTAAGCACTCAGAGGTAGTGGAGAAAGTAGTTGTTTCAAGGCTTGGTGCTAAAGTCTAAATGCTGTAGCTCTGAAATGAAAAAGTTTAGCTACAGGCTCACTTGGATTAGAGGGTGCCAAACAGGATTCCACGTGCTAAGAGAGTTGGGGGAGTAAAAACTGGCATCGCTGTTCAGTGAATATGTGAAGTTGAAGCAACTTATATTTGAGTCCAGTGGCACCTTTAAGACCAACCAAGTTTTATTCAGGGTATTAGCTTTCCTGTGCGTGCACACTTCTTCAGATACAAGAAGGGTGCATGCATACAAAAGCTTATACCTTGAATAAAACTTGGTGGGTCTTAAAGGTGCCATGGGACTCAAACTTTTTCCCGCTGCTACAGACCAACATGGCTACCTACCTGAAGCAACTAATACTGTATCTGACGGAGAGAGCAAAGAACATAAAGAGACTGTAATGTTGGATCAGGCCAATGGCCCATCCAGTCCAACACTGTCACACAGTGGCCCAAAATACCAGGGGCCACCAGAAGGCCCAGCAGTGGGGCCAGGGCCAGCTGTAACCCTTGAAAGCATAAAATCCATTAGTTTTTTAGCTGTTGTCCTGTCCCGTTAATCAAACGTCTCTAGGAGCAATGGTGATACACACCGTCCTTGCAAGCTATAAGAACAGAAGACGGCCGTGTCAACATTGAAACGGAATGTGAGGTCTTGCACGGGGTAAAGAGTCAAATCCATGCCGAATGGGAACACAGATTTTTTGGGGGTGGGGGAATAGATTTATTTTAAAAAGAAACCTTTCAGCAAACGTGCAATTTGTTATAAATTCCATGTATCTTCCAAATTACAAACAAATATACATATTCTAGTAACGACAACAACAAAGCAATATAACATGTACTAAACTCTGTGTTTTGTAAGCCGCCCTAAGCCACCAGGTGGTGCCTGAGCCCGCGTGCGGAGAGGGCGGGGTATAAATGAAATGAAATAAATAAAAAACTCTATGCCAAACGAGGATACGATCTTCGGGGGGGAGGCCGGGGTAGGAAACACAATTTTTAATAAGCCCATCTCCTCTCCTCTCCATGCCACGTTCCAAGAAGAACAATTCAGCCGGAGCGGTAAAAGCGCCTCTGCGATTGTGCCTCTTTGCCTCTAGTGTCATGGCCGGAACGAGTCGGCAAGGAGCCCAGACGCTTCCTTGTGCGTCACGTGGCGGCCTCCTCTCGTCCCCATTGGAGCTCGTTGAATGACGCCAGTTTTTCCCGGAAGTGAAGCGTCGTTTTTCCTCCAGTCCAAAGCTCAGTTGGAGGTCTGCGCCGGTGAGTGTCTCGTTGGGTAAGACCGCTCTTTTATTGTAAATTTTTAAACTTGGCATGGGTCTCGCAGGGCAATTCAGCTGCTCATTTGTAAGTACCAATGTTGTCGTTATTATTTTAATTGAAGTTTTGGAAATAGGCAAGGGGAGGGGAGCGTTCTTTTTAAAGAAGCAGCTGTGCCTTATGGTCATTTAAGCGTTTCCAGCTGTGACATTGTTCGGCTGTTCAGCGCAGTTAATCAGATGGTGGCAGTTTCCCTCATTTATGACATGGCAACCCGGTACCTGGGGGTTGGCACAGGGTTTCCAATCTCCAGGTGAGGCCTGGAGATCTCCCGGAATGACAGCTGATCTCCAGGCGACACAGATCTATCCCTCTGAATAAACTGGCTGCTTTGGAGGTAGGGTTACCGACTTAGGGTTGGGAAATTCCTGGATATTTGGGGACAGAGGCTGGGGAAGGTGGGGTTTGGGGAGGAAAGGGACCTTTTGGTTGTTGTTCAGTCACAGTCGAGTCCAACTCTTCGCGACCCCATGGACCAGATCACGCCAGGCCTTCCGGTCTGCCGCCGTCCTCTGACATTTGCTCAACTTCATGTCCGTTGCATCTATGACACTGTCTAACCGTCTCATCCTTTGCCGTCCCCGTCTTCTTTGACCTTCAGTCTTTCCCAGCATCAGGGTCTTCTCCAGTGAGTGCTCCCTTCTCATTGGGTGGCCAAAGTATTTGAGCTTCAGTTTCATTATCTGGCCTTCCAGGGAACAGTCAGGGTTGATTTCTTTTAGGATTGACTGATTTGATCTCCTTGCAGTCCAAGGGACTCTCAAGAGTCTTCTCCAGCACCATAGTTCAAAAGAATCTATTCTTTGGCACTCTGCCTTCCTTATAGTCCAACTCTCGCAGCCATACATGACTAGGGCCTTAGCAAGGTATAATGACATCGATCCACCCTTCCAAGCAGCTGTTTTCTCCAGGAGAACTGATCTCTGTTGACTGGAGATCAGTTGTAATTCCAGATCTCCAGGCACCACCTGGGAGTTGGGAACCCTACTGGGTGGGTGGATTCCGTGACGTTGTACTTCACTGGGGTCCCTCTCCTACCCAGACCCTGCCCTCCCCAGTCTCCACCCACAAATCTTCAGGAATTTCCCAACCTGAAGCTGGCAGCCCTAGGTAGTAACTTGATTCCAAATATCTGCATCTGAGGAAGAAGCAAGGTTGTAAGAGTTGTTTTTTAAATCTTGACTAGAGAGGCATTCTTGTTAGTCTTCTTCATTGTTCATCTTTTTGACCATTCACATTCATTCTACTTCAGCAGTTGGCAGTGTTCCCTCTAAGCTGTGAAGTCTTGTGAGCAAAATTTCTACTTTGTGAGCTACTGGCATTAAAGTTGTGAGCGAGTGATTTAGCTGCTGCATAAACTAGTTTGCTCTGGAGCCCTCCTTCCTGAGCGAAGACAAAAATGTGTGAGCCGGAGGCTAAAAAACTGTGAGCTGGCTCACTCTAACTCAGCTTAGTGGGAACACTGGTTGGGAGTGGTCTGCATCCCTTCCGGTGGGTCGCTTACACTTCTCACGGGGATCTTGTTTCCATCTGGGCTTGGCAGGGCAAGGTCCCATCCCTTGTCCTGAGAAACTGAGCTTCTTGAGCCCTCCTCCTCTCTTGCTTCCTTCTGCTGTCTGTAGTTTTGATATAAATTTGTCTGCTCCTTGGGGAAGCAGCCTCAGTCTCACAAAAGGTTATGCTGTGACAAATGGGTTCATCTTCAAGGTGACACAGGGCTCTTATTTCACCCTTTGTAGTTTACTGATGTAGATATGTGCTGACCTGGCTAGCGCAGACTTGCCTGATCTTGTCAGATCTCGGAAGCTAAGCAGGATTGGTTCTGGTTAGTAATTGGATGGGAGGCCACCAAGGAAGTTCAGGGTGAGTACACAGAGGCAGGCAATGTCTCTGAATGCCTCTGAATGTCTCTGGCCTTGAAAATCCTATAGGTTTGCTATGAGTTGGCTGCAACTCGACGGCAAAAAACACACACATACACATTTAGAGAGGGGGAGATGTACAATATGGTTGTTTAGGGGAGGGGCCGCAGCTTAGTGGTAGAGCACCTGCTTGGTATGCAGAAGGTCCCAGGTTCAATCCCTGACGTCTCCAACTCAAGGATCAGGTAGTCGGTGATGTGAAGGACTTCTGCCTGAGACCGTGGAGAGCCCCTGCCAGCAATCCAAAACTCCCTGTTCAAAGAGCAGTGGGCCAGGCGTGGAAGCCGGATATTTCCCGAGGTTAGCTCACCATACCTCGTGTTAGCTGTGAGCAGCTACCAACTTGGTTTCACAGCCCTGTGTTTTAAAATACGTTCCTGGGAATAACATGCCTCGTAAACATTAATCTGACCTTCCTGATAGACGCATGGAGAGACTCTAAAGCGGGTGTTCCGAGACTGTGGGCGCACTTGGAATTTTGAGAGTGTGCCGTCATCACAGATTGGCCGCCTCGGAGTTTGAACCGATTGTAGAATGTTGGGGGGTTCCGAGCCAAGCTTCGCCCTACAATGGAGGCAGCTGCGTCCGAAGTTGTGGCAGCTCTCGTTTCAAGGAACTGAAGGGCTCTGTGTTTTGAGGAGGAGGTGCAGTTTGGTTTAAAGGGATTGCTGAGCCCAGAGATCCAAGGTTTGTGGCCGAGCCGAGGGCGCACAACTACGATGCAACTGCCGAAGATGAGCTCACTGCTTTGCTAGTTAGTGTCCCGCAGCGATCAGTTCCCGACAGCTTTCATTCAAAGAAGTAAAGTTTATTGAGACCAGTGTTCCCTCTAAGCTAAGTTAGTGTGAGCTAGCTCACAGTTTTTTAGCCTCCGGCTCACACGTTTTTGTCTTAGCTCAGGAAGGATGTCTCCAGAGCAAACTAATTTACGCAGCAGCCAGATCGCTCGCTCACAACTTTAATGCCAGTCGCTCACAAAGTAGAATTCTTGCTCACAAGATTCCACAGCTTAGAGGGAAACATTGATTGAGACATATGATAGTATGCAGATATCTTAACCATCCTGTGTTAGAACTGACTAAAAGCGCGTGAAGCAAACAGTTATACATAATTCAGAGACCCCTGATGGACCAGGGCCAATGAGGGGCCAGGTAGAAGCCCACCAAAGTAACAGGCATTAATTCCCAAGAGAAATACTACACCAGGTGCTGAAGGTCAAGCATAGATAAGAGAAAGAGGAAAGACACATCAGAAATGGAATTTAACATTCCAAAGTCATCCTGCTCCCATGGCAGCCAGGACTAGACAGAGGCCTAGCTGACAGTCAGCTGGTGTGGAGTGACCAGAAGCTTTCTCTTTCTGTTTTTTCTTTTCTGTTTCATTGAAGACTTCTCTGAATTTTATCCCCAAGATTTGTAAGAACATAAGAGCCCTCTGCTGGCTCTGACCAGTGGTCCACCTAGTCCGGCATCCTGTCTCAGTCTCACACAGCGGCCAACCAGTTCCTCTGGAGGGCCAACAACAGGGCAGAGAGGCCGAGGCCTTCCCTTGGCTTTCCTTCCTGGCCCTGTGATTCAGAGATTGACTGTCTCTGAATGTGGAGGTTCCCCTCAGCCGTCATGTCTAGCGGCCACAGACAGACCTCTCCTCCGTGAATCTGTCTAATCCTCTTTTCAAGCTGTCTGTGCTTGTGGCCATCACTGCATCCTCTGGCAGCGAAGTCCACATTTTGATCACTCGCTGTGTAAAGAAGTGCTTCCTTTCAAGACACAGATGGGGTACCACATTGGGGACTGCTGCTCTGGAGAAAAAAACAGAAGTTCATGCTTAAGCCAGGTTCTTCAGCCTTACATCAGGAGGTGATTTGGCTTAATAACAGTGATCAGTGTTAACATAGTTTGTGTGCTTATGGGCAGGTGGTGTGGGCGTGTCAGGCCTTCTTGGTCCAACTGCCTTTCAAAAAATGAAAATTTACATACTTTCCCAGTGACTCTTTTTAGTGTTCAGGCTGGAAACTTGCGCAGCCCTATCCTGCAAGTGAGCGCCACTGAGACGTGCTTCCAAATAAATGGGCATAAAAACGGGGTGCAGTGTTCCCTCTAAGCTGAGATAGTGTGAGCTAGCTCACAGTTTTTTAGCCTCCGGGTCACACATTTTCATCTTAGCTCAGGAAGGGATGGCTCCAGAGCAAACTAACTTATGCAGTAGCCAAATCGCTCGCTCATAGCTTTAATGCCAGCAGCTCGCAAAGCAGAATTTTTGCTCACAAGACTCCACAGCTTAGAGGGAGCACTGGTTGCAATTATTCTACCTGTCCAGTTAATGTAGTGCCAAGGACAGTTAATTTGCATTTGAGGGGTCAGTTCTGAGTTACATTAGCAGTGACAGGATCAAATTGTCGTGTATGGATTTGCATGTGTTCCCCGGTCTGTTCATCTTCTACGGGAAAAGGTCTTTGTTAAAGAAGCTCGTTTAACAAAGTAGTCGGAGAGTGATTCAGCAAGAACACAGCTTTATTCTTCAACTCGAACACAACTCCAACACGGATCAACATCTGATAGCCAGAACAGCCTTTACATTGCAGCTGTCCTGCTTTTAAACATTCCCGGCTAATGTAGCCACACCCACTGTACAAATACCAACCAATAAGGTTGTTCACATAAGGACCGATCACGGATGTTCCCGCTCAAGGAGCTTGCTAGAAGGTGATTGGTCAGGTGCTTCCTGGGCTAGTAACACGATTGGATGGATTTGGATCCTAGCCCAGGACGAAGCTTTACATTACACTTCAATTAGATGTTTTAAAAACATATCATGCATTCAAGGCAGCTCTGAATACTCTACAGTCTTTGTCGTTTTCCTGCTTGTTCTCTTTTGTTCTTTACTGTTCACTAGCAAACGAACAGGACTCTGGCACCGGGATGCCAGCTTCTGGTTGGTAAATACCTGGAGATTTTGGAGGTGGGGCAGGAGGAGGGAGGGGTTTGGAGAGGGGATGAAATTCAGTGGGGCATAATGCCATAGAGATAACTTTCCACAGCTGCCATTTTCTCCAGGTGAACTATTGCCTGGATATCAGTTGTAATCCCAGGAGATCTCCAGCCACCACCTGGAGGTTGTGGATACGATAGTAGCCGACCAACACTAAAAGTGCTAAGCACGTGGCTCCAGAGTAGCACGCAAAAAATTATTTACGTCATTATAAGGATTTATTTTACAGTGCTGACACCAAACGTTAAATACTGAGAAATCAGGTGAAGGAATTCACATATCGCAAAGTACCATTTTGAATAATCACATGATAAGTTGGCAATTTAAGAATCCAACTTGGCGGTAATTTACCGAGAGCCGTAGTAAACCTGCATAGTGATCAATAAAGAGCTCTTGATGAAGACAGATGTTGAGACGGGGTGCCGAATCCAGGGCTATTTTTGGGCAGGAACGCACAGGAACGGAGTTCCGGCTGGCTCCCGAGTTGGCCACGCCCAGCAGGAACTTATTAGCATAATAGGCCACACCCAACAGCAGAAACGCATTAGGATTGGCTACATTAGGGGTGTGTGGCCTAACATGCAAAGGAGTTCCTGCTACAAAAAAAACACTGGGTTTTGACAACAAGGTAAACAGAATAAGAAGCAAAAGGTGGGTGTGGCTGGATAACCACACTTCTGGTAACATGGCGGTGTGGCCTAATGTGCTGATGAGCTGTGCTGTCAGGGTGTGGCCTAATATGCTAATGAGTTTCTGATGTTGGGTGTGTCCTATTATGCTAATGAGTTCCTGCTTGGCTTTTTCTACAAAAAGAGCCCTGATTCTACTCCCATTTGGAAGTTTTCTTCGTCAAGGCCAGCCTCTCACATTTCAATTGCAGCAGATCAAAAGCTTTCACATTTCACATTTCAGTTTCGAGGGCTGTTTAGAACATTGTGAAAGTTTTTGATATACTGCAGTTGAAATGTGAGAGGCTGGCCTTGATGAAGAAAACTTCCAAATGGGAGTAGAGTCCACCCGTCTCAACAGCTCTCTTCCTCAACAGCTCTTTACTGATTACTACGAAGATTTGCTACATTTCTAGGTAAATTACTGCCAAGTTGGATTTTTAAATTGCCAATTTATTGTGTAATTATTCGAACTGGTACTTTTGTGACATGTAAACTCCTTCAACTGGTTTCTCACTTAGTATTTAATGTTTGGTGTCAGCACTGTAAAAATAAAGATACTGATGTAAATAATTTTTTACCTGCTACTCTGGAGCCGTGCACTTAGTACTTTTTGTTGGGGCACCTGGAGGTTGGCACCCTGCACAGGCAAGACTACAAAATGTACTGGCCTTGCTGGCAAGTCCCCTCCAGCCCCTGAGCAAAGTTTGGAGCCTTTCTTCAGCTGAGGGAGGCTTCCTCAAGTTCAGGGATCCTCAGTTTTTATGAGTCTTCAGGCACCTTTGGAGATCTGCCACAGAGTGGTTGGCCTGGCCACAAAATGGCTGCCAAAGGAAATGGAGCTGACTACAAAATGGCCGCCACAGGAGGTAGAGCCAACCACAAAGTGCCAAGGAGTGGGGTTATGTGTCATTCTAACAGTAACTCTTCAACACTTCAGGCCAAAGTTATGCTTAGCAGGATGCCTTTTAATCCGCAGAGGGAATCAGAAGCTCTGCTTTGGGGTGAAAGCCCCACCAGGTCCTGCCCACTTTCTAAAAGCACTTGGTGGATGCTGGGGAAAATGTTAAGAGCAAAAGAGGAGCCATGTTGGATGAGGCCAATGGCTCACCCAGTCCAACACCCTGTGTCACACAGTGGCCAAACCCCAGGAGCCATCAGGAGGTCCACCAGCGGGGCCAGAACTCCAGAAGCCCTCCCACTGTGGGCCCCCCAAGCACCAAGTGATAGCAGGCCCCATGGTGTTAGGGACCCCTCGTTTAACTTATGTGGCTCTTCCTTAGGGTGGAGGAACTGCCTCCAGCCATGGGTCAATGATTACACGCCGCACACAGCTTGTGCCTGTTGACTCAGAAGCGTGTCGCCGTGGTCTCATCGGGCTGCAGCCACTGACGTGCTGCTGGGATGCATGTCAGACTCTTGCGCGAGGACAGTGCCTGAGGCTTTTACTGACTGTGTCGCTTTCCTTAACGGCCTAGCCCGTCTTTTCCCACAAGGACCTGGACGGAAGTGCTGCCATGGTTTGCATTCCCTGCATCGTCATCCCAGTCCTGCTGTGGGTCTACAAAAGGTTCCTGGAGCCCTATCTGTACCCCATCATCTCTCCTTTCGTGAAGCGCCTGTGGCCCAAGAAAGCCGTGGCAGGAGCAGCGAAGCAAGACCAGAAGGTCAGCTCTGGAGGCGGACAGGAGCCACTGGCCACGTATGACTCTTCCACGGACGTGGCTGACCTTTCTAAAGTAAGAGTTTAAAAACTACCCCCCCCCCGTCTTGTCTCTCTCTGTACACAGTTCCCTTTCAGACAGTCAGGTTGCTCAGCTAGTTGTGGGGGAGGGAGGGTTTCTAGGACACAAAATGCCCTCGTTCTTGTCAAACGCTCACCCGATCCGATCTGCTGATAGGCGCTATCTCCTTTCCTTTTTTCCCCCCTGCTGCTGTATCTGTGCAGTCCCCGGAGTCACATGATCTGTTCCAGAACCGTCAAGGGAAGAGAAAAAGTTTTTCATTCCAAAGCCGACATGGAAATAACACGTTAGGGCTTCGTTGTAGGACTTTTTATTTTCTCGGTAATGGTCTACTGAAGGCGGCTGAGTCTTTTCTCTAAGGCTTCGGTTCTCTGCTCATGTATAGAGGTGTCACGTGAATATGCACCGTATTCTTCCTCTGAGACAACGGACTGCCCTGGTTGGAAATGTGATATGAGAGAAAGCAGATCTGTGCTGAAGAGTGAACGTGCACCCTCCCCCTCCTTTCTCCTTCACGGAGCTGAAGTCTCTAAGAGGGTTTCGGTACATTCAGTGCCTTGAAACTCTGCCTGAGATGAGTTTGGCTTGCCAGCATTGCGTTTCTCGTCTTCCCCACGGCAGGGCCCTCTGGGAGCTCACCTGAGCATTTTGTTGGGATTGCACAATCTCTGTTGCTTGTGATGTTGCCTGGCCTGGAAGAGATTTGGGACCAGTATTGCCACGTCCTTTGAAGGGCCACTGTACCTTGGTTGGTGGGGTCCATTCGATGTGGGGGCATCTCATGTCATGCAGAGGCCTGCTCTAGAGAACCACTAAAGGTTTTTTGGATGACTAGAGAAACACATTCCTAACAAGTTACCCCTCCAGAAAACGATGCCCTGTATTCTTGTAAGCTGTACCTCACCATTGCTTCCAAGGGCAGCCCCTTGTAGGGTGCATTTCAGTAGTCTAGCCGTGAAGGTTCTCAAAGTGTGAATAAGGGCTGCGATGTCTGAATCTGAACTAGGAGGCTGTCATCTCCCCCTCCTTCTCCCCCCCCCATGCAGCTGGTGCGACACGGCTTTTGTTTACTGCCAAGAGCCAGCGTAGCATTTTGTTTGTTCAAATCTTTCTATGCGCCCTTTGTGGCCAAAGCAGCTCACAGATAGTAAAACCAAAATAAATATAATAAAGTAAATCAGATTTTATATATAAGTCACACACCAGCAGCTGGGCAGAGCACAAAACCACGATCGGTCAGCAGAGTTAAAACGGGAATGAAAGGATGCATTTTTATAAATAGATTAGAACAGTAGAATAACAGAACAGCTCAGGAGGTCACTTTGGAGAGGGACAGGATGGTAGTCTTTTTATCTTTGTAATTTGCTTTCTGTATTAACGGCGTGTTACACCTTCGACAGTTTTTTTGTTTGCATTGTTTTCTAATTCTGTAATCCCAGTCACACTGCATCGTTTATTGGTTTCATGCTGTCTGAATTGCTTTTTATATTTTGTGATTTGACCTGAGGCTCAGCAAGAAAGGTAGACTTATAAACAAACTTAATAACAATAATCCTGTAACAGTCAGGTGTGGCTTACTCTGCAGATACTTAAATCTGCAGATCAGGGCCATGCTGACTATCAACGGTTCCGCAAACTTAGGACTTCCGGTGAACGTGGCTGTTCGCTTAGAGGCACCTTGTGCTTTGTCTCTCTCCCAGTGAGGACCTTTTATCATAAACAGTTCTGCAAACCTGGAGGACTCCCCTGAGGTTCACAGAAAAATCTGAAAAAAATCATATGGAGAGAGGGTTTAAATCTCCCCTCCCAAAAAAGAGTGTTGTCTGTGCAAATGCAGACAGTGCTCAAACACTCTTATCAGACGGTGAAGAAGAAAAAGAAAAGAGATTGGATTTATACCCCGCCCTTCACTTGGAGTCTCAGAGCGGCTTACAAACTCCTTTCCCTTCCCCTCCCCACAACAGACACCCTGTGAGGTGGGTGGGGCTGAGAGAACTCTGACAGAAACTGCTCTTTTTCAAGGACAGCTGTGCCAGAGTTTGTGACTGACCAGGGTCACATCAGCAGGTGCAAGTGGAGGCGTGGGGAATCAAACCCGGTTCTCCCAGATTAGAGTCCGCACACTTAACCACTACACCAAACTGGCAGTGTTGCCAGGGAGTCAGGTTGTCCTCAGTACCCTCGCCAAGGCAGCAAATCTGCAGGAGGGCCCAGAGCTGTCCCTGGCCGTGGCAGCAAACCACAGACAGGTAAGGAAGCTTCAGGACAGAATCTCAGATCCTGCAATTCTGGTGAATGTGAAAATAATTAACCGGGAGCCAAAATGCTGGCGGTGTTGATACCTGACTCCAGGAGGGGGGTTCTGTTAACAGAGCACCTCTTAGAAGAAGAAGAAGAGATTGGATTTATACCCCGGCCTTCACTCAGAGCCTCAGAGTGGCTTACAAACTCCCTTCCCCTTCCCCTTCCCCTCCCCACAGCAGACACCCTGTGAGGTAGGTGGGGCTAAGAGAGCTCTCTCAAGAACTGCCATTTCAAGGACAGCTCTTGTCAGAACTGTGGCTTGCCCAAGGTCATCCAGCAGCTGTGAGTGGAGGAGTGGGGAATCAAACCCGGTCCTCCCAGATTAGAGTCCGCGCACTTAACCACTACACCAAACTGGCACGGTGGCCGAGAGCGTGAGCCACGAAGCCTTCAGTTAAAATCTCACCTCGGCGATGAACTCACCTGGTGGCCTTCGCTGGCCTCTCTGCTTCACCTTTGCTTCAGCGATATGGCGATCATGTCGGCTTCCATTATAGCGTTGTGTGTGAAGTGCTGTATAAGTGCTAGGTGGGCCTTAGTTCTGGGCACCCTGACGGACCCAGAAGATCCCTGGGGCTGTGGATCTGAGTGCTCAGGAAATGCGAAGTCCCATCACTACCAGTAGGAGATGAACACATGAAGCTGCTTTATACTGAATCAGACCTCGAATCCATCAAGGTCAGTATTGCCTACTCAGTCTGGCAGCAGCTCTCCAGGGTCTCAGGCAGAGGTCTTTCATTTCACCTGCTGCCTGGTCCTTAACCAGAGATGCTGGGGATTGAACCTGGGACCTCCTGCGTGCCAGTACAAGCGATACAAACAACCGTGATATAATTATTAAGATATTATTCTATGAATTTTTGTTGTATATTACTATAAAGATTTATTTTAACATGAATAGATTTTCGCAATAATATGAGTCCTCAATAATGAACAAAGTGCTGAGGTCAAGGAACTGTCCATCTTGTTTGGTGTAGTGGTTAAGTGCGTGGACTCTAATCTGGGAGAACCGGGTTTGATTCCCCACTCCTCCACTTGCACCTGGCTGGATGACCTTGGGCAAGCCGTAGTTCTGATAAGAGCTGTTATTGAAAAAGAGCAGTTTCTGTCAAGAGCTCTCTCAGCCCCACCTACCTCACGGGGTGTCTGTGGTGGGGAGGGGAGGGGAAAAGGAGTTTGTAAGTCACTCTGAGACTCCTTTGGGTAGTGAAGGGTGGGGTATAAATCCAATCTCTTCTTCTTCTTCATATAGTCACTCTGCATGTCTAACTTCCAACTTCTTCATCCGTTCAAAATTCTGTGTGGCAATCCCTCCTCTCGGTGGTCAAAGCCACGGAAGCCACGGATGTGCTATTAATAGCAGTGGAGAAATTATGTGTCTTTGCCTTTGAGGAGGGATTGCCACACAGAATTTTGAATGGATGAAGAAGTTGACAGACGTGCAGAGTGACTATATGGACAGTTCTTTGACCTCAGCACTTTGTTCATTATTGAGGATTTATATTATTGTGAAAATCTATGAATGTTAAAAAATCTTTATAGTAATATCTTAGTAATTATATCACAGTTGTTTGTATAGCTTGTATTGGTTGTTCAGCTTCTCCCGTGGTCTCTCATAATTTGTACCTTCTGCATACCAAGCAGATGGTCTACCACTGAGGCACGGGCCCGTCTGTGGTACAATGGAGCTGGCATTCCAAAAATCTCTGGTTCTGGGATACGAAGATGTTGTTCTTCCCCTGGTGAATTCATATTGTCTTTTTTCTTTCTTGTTGTCTTCTTCCTGTGTTTCAGACCAAAAGCAATGGGGTTGCAAACGGGTGTGCCGGAAACGAGCCTGCTGAGGTGTCTGACAAAAAGACGGATTAAAGGAGCGTGTGCCGTGGGGTGCAAATGGTCACTGCTCCCACTTGAGAAAAAACGTCGTTGGACTTGGAGCGGAATAGAAACTTAAGACACTCTCAACACCCACACCCTTTGGGAGACTTAGCAAAATTCTGTCTAGGTAGCTGGGAAAATACAGTTCGAATATATATCGCTCTGTTTCTCTTGACATTCCTTTTGCTGGAATTTTCTCCAGTTGGTGCAGTGGGCGGGGAAGAGGTTTTAAGGTCAAGGCTTTATTAACTGCTGTGTTTTGTCAAGCTTGCTGTTTATTTATTTCACAAACTCCCCTGAAACGAGGGTTTCCAGGTCTCCCAGTGAGCAGTGGTGGGAGGGAGAAAGCCCATGACATCCAGGGTTTCCCCTGGAAGTGACGTCACATTGCTCTAGGAGTCTCCAGAAACTCTATGGTTTTACTGGTGATGTTGTTCCCAATTGGGAAAATGTTGGTTTTACCATAGAGTTTCTGGCAGCTCCTAGAGCAGGGACCCGAAGTGACATCATGATGCACGCGATACCAGTACCCCGCATGCCACCCCACCCCCATCGTCTGCCAGTTGTCGGGACACAACCCTACCTGAAACTTTTCTTTCGAGTCAGTTCTCCTACACTTGCCTCATGCACTGTAGTCAAACAGAGCAGACCTGTAAATAGTCAGAAGTTAATAATATATTCATAGGTGGTAAATCCACTCCTGTACAGTTCTGCCATGGATGGTTTGGCAGGTACCCAATAATCTTGCAAATGTCATGGGGCAAAACGTGTTATGAGCCGGTTGGGTTCATTTAGAAGGCAGCCCTGATACCGCAGGAGACAGGGGGGAGAACATCCCAGGTTGCTTTGTGGTAGACCTTTGTGGGAAAGATTCTCTAACTGGAGCGTTAACACCAGGGCAGCAATTGGAAAGAAACCTCCATTTTACCCTTCTGGCTCGTACAGTAGCAAGCGGGCATTCTTAATAAAGTATATTTGTTTTATATGGGAGTGAACCTATGTGTGTGTTTTCTGTGTGTGTTCTGGAGGCCTGTGAATGGAGGCCAAATGACTCCAGTCCAATGAAAGCGTCAAGCCAGTGTGCTGCAGCAGTGAAAAAGGCATTTCTGTGTTAGGGGTTATTCGGGAACGGATTGAAAATAAAATGGCCGATGTTATAATGCCCCCATATGGAGGAATGGTGCGGCCTCACTTGGAATACTGTGTGCAGTTCTGGTCACTGTAACTCAAAAAGGACATTGGAGAGCTGGGAAAAAGTAAGGAAGAGGACAACCGAGATGATCAGGGGGTTGGAGCACCTTCCCTGTGAGGACTGGCTGAAGAGTCTGGGACTTTTCAGTTTAGAAAAGAGACGACTAAGGGAAGGGACATGAAAGAGTTTTATGAAATCATGCCTGGGGTGGAGAGAGTTGACAAAGAGGACTTTTTCCTCCCTCTCCCCAGATACTAGAACCCGAGGGCATCCGATGAAGCTGATGGGCAGTAGGTTCAGGATGGACAGAAGGAAATACTACTTTACACAGAGAGCGATTCAAATGTGGGATTTGTTGTCAGAGGATGTACTGATGGCCACAGCTTTAAAAAGGGATTAGACAGATTCATAGAGGATAGGTCTTTCAGTGGCTATTTCCCATGGTGACCGAGGGGAACCTACATGTTTTGGAGGCAGTCATCCCCTGAATCCCAGAGCCAGGAGGCAACATCTGGGGAAGGCCTCAGCCTCTGTGCCCTGTTGTTGGCCTTGCAGAGGAACTGGTTGGCCAACTTTGTGAGACAGGATGCTGGACTAGATGGGCCACTGGTCTGACCCAGCAGGGCTCTTCTTAGGTTCTTATGGAGGCCTCAGCCTCTCTGCCCTGTTGTTGGCCCTCCAGAGGAACTGGTCGGCCACTGTGTGAGACAGGATGCTGGACCAGATGGACCACTGGTCTGATCCAGCAGGGCTCTTCTGATGTTCTTATGGAGGCCTCAGCCTCTCTGCCCTGTTGTTGGCCCTCCAGAGGAACTGGTCGGCCACTGTGTGAGACAGGATGCTGGACCAGATGGACCACTGGTCTGATCCAGCAGGGCTCTTCTGATGTTCTTATGGAGGCCTCAGCCTCTCTGCCCTGTTGTTGGCCCTCCAGAGGAACTGGTCGGCCACTGTGTGAGACAGGATGCTGGACCAGATGGACCACTGGTCTGATCCAGCAGGGCTCTTCTGATGTTCTTATGGAGGCCTCAGCCTCTCTGCCCTGTTGTTGGCCCTCCAGAGGAACTGGTTGGCCAACTTTGTGAGACAGGATGCTGGACTAGATGGGCCACTGGTCTGACCCAGCAGGGCTCTTCTTAGGTTCTTAAAAGAGGTGTTTTAGAACTTCATGAAAGCAAGAAAAGGAACAGTATATCAGTTACCGCATGAGAAGAGAGCTCTCGCGTTTAACATGGTTCTGGTGCTTTTTGGCCCAGTTTATGCAGCCATTTTGCTGATTAGGCTTCTAAAACTAAAAACGGCACTGTACACGGGGGTGAATCTCTCTTCTGACTTGTAAGCACAAACCAGCAGTTCTGCACGCTATGCAGGTCCCTGGCAGAGGTCGAGCATTAATAGGCAAAACCTTTCTGGGAGCTTTCTGAGCAATTTGCTTACTCGCACACTGCAATCCCAGCTAGAACAAAACGGAGAGGGTGCATCCGTGTTTGAGTGAAATGTGTCTTGGGAGATCCAGTGCAGGATGTCAAGATCTTCAGAGTGCGTGTCTTTGCAATGCAGAGCCCAATCTTAACATCAACACAGCTTCTGATTTGTCGTGAGAGGCGTGGGGAAGTCTCTAGGAGCTTTTCAAAGATGAGTCTGGCCTGAAGAGAGAGGAGAGAGATTGGATTTATACCCTGCCCTTCACCACCCAAAGGAGTCTCAGGTTACAATCTCCTTTCCCCTCCCCACAACAGACACCCTGTGAAGTAGGTAGGGCTGAGAGAGCTCTCTTGAGAACTGCCCTTAAGAGAACAGCTCTGAAAGGACTTGTGACTGACCCAAGGTCACACCGGCAGCTGCATGTGGAGGAGCGGGGAATCAAACCTGGTTCTCCCGAATTAGAGTCCACGCTCCTAACCACTACACCCAGCTGGCCTGGAGATACAATCCTGGCAACTGAACAGCTCCAATAGCTCCAGGGCCCAGATGCCTTATTTTGCTCCTCGGCCAGACTGCACTCATGGTCTCCATCCTCAACAGGCTTAGGCCATGGTCAAACGGGTTTGTGTGTGTAGCGTGAAGTGCCATCAAGTTGCAGTTGACTTATGGCAACAACAGAGTGTTTCCAAGGCAAGAGACGTTCAGGGGTCCGTTTTGGTTTTGGAACCTTGAATACCCAACAGATTCTTTCAAGTGTTACAATGGGTGAAATAGCATTTTATACTTCACATTACATCAGAGAAATAAAACAGAGTTATTGGTTCCATCAAACATTGTCAAATTTCATCACCTATTTCCCATTAGGTTAAGACCTGGGGGGCGGGGGGGAGGGTTTGTTCCCAGGCAGAGTTCTTCTTTTCCTAACAGAACAATACACTTTTCTTTCGGAAGCTATGAAGCAGCATGTTGTATCTATATAACTGATATGGTTACAGAGTGCTTACTGTTCTTCATTCTAGCTAGGTTAACTCACATTAGAAACATGCGCAGTTGTCGCTGGCCAGAGCAAGCAAGGTCATGGGCAGCATAACTGAGTATCAGCATTTCAGCCTTCTTCCCAGCATGCATTCAAACAACAGTCACAAATGAACCAAAGTTAATACCTGAATACATTCATGATGTCAGAATCATATGCATTATGCAAGTGCTAAGCACACCTACCAAGTCAAACCTGTTAGGCAGTGGCAGAGTACGAAGTGGTTCATAAAATGTGTACAACACATCCAAGTACTAACCTGGGCAGGCCCACAGCCACGGGAGGGGGCACTGGGGGGGCAATGCCTCCCACAGATGAGTGCTGCCCCCTCCAACAATTTTTTTTTAAAATCTGGAAACAATAATTTGAAAAGCAAAAAAAAAAAAAAAAATTAAATGTAAGATGCACGTGGGTGTTCCAAAGTGACCCCAGGCACAGTCAGGGAAGCGTCAGTCTCATCTTTTCTTTTTTTCCCAGGCCGAAAAATAAATAGGTTTTAAAAAATGCAATAAAATAAAATTGCAAAATGCAAAAGAGAGAGAGTCGGAGATCCCCCCCCCCCCCGCTTACACAGAAAGGCAGCCTGGAATCGAGTCTCTCTAACCGAAAGGGTAGAGCCTGTTGAACCTCTGAAATCTGATGAGATCGGGCTTAGCCTAAGCCAGCCAGGTTGGGTTGCAGAGTAACAAACTGGGGAGGAATAGGAAAGAAGGTTCAAAAGGGTCGTACCTGGATCTTGGATTTCCATCCCGGTTCAGCTAGGAATGTGGACGCTCGGGCTACAGTCCTAAATACACTCGCTATCAGGGGTCATTTCCTGCAGGAGCGCACAGGAGCGGAGCCCAATAGCTAGCAATCCAAAACCGTCCAGTGGAGCCTGAGCGGTGGGTGTTGCCTTCTGACACACTTCCGGTGATGCCTGGGGGCATGACATATGCAAATTAGTTATGCTAATGAGTTATGCTAATGAGATCCTGCACCTCTTTTTCTACAAAATGACCCCTCCTGCTCGCTATGAAATAAGTCCAGCTACATTCCGTCTGCTCTTCCAGACGAGCAAACACAAAAGTGGCCGACGGAACTTCCAAGAACGACTAAAAAACGCTAAAACGGTCAGTAAACGAAGAACTTATTTTACCAGCATGGTCGACCAGTAACTTGCCTGAGTGCTAAATTGGCATTACGAAAAACTGAAATCCCCAGAAGTTCCAGCCCAAATCGGGTCCCTGGTGTTGTAGGAACAGCTTGGGCAGGTAACCCTTCTGGAGGGTGCTGTGTGGCGCGAGACCTTTCCCTCCACCTGCACGGCTTCCAGGCACCTTGGTTTGCCAACTTCTGGAGTTCCCCTGAAGTTAGAGCTTATCTCCTCTGACTACCAAGAATTCCGCAGTTCCAGTAAAAAAATAACCTCATATAATCGATAAAAGCTGTTTCGAAACTCTCAAGAGCTAATGATCCTTTCCTTCAAAGCCGATGATCCTTCTACAAACGAAATCAATTTTCACAGGTAATAAGGTACCAGATTTAAATTCTTTGGCACTGATGTACTCTGAAGCATTTAAGTCCGGAGGCATCACTAATGTACCTTATTACCTGTGAAAATTGATTTCATTTGTAGAGGGATAGCCCATTGGGTGTGGATCCTCACTTGCTAAAAGCTTCAT